CCCAACTTTTATGATGAAAATAGTTTATCCATTCAACTATCTCACAATGGGTCGAGCCACTCTCCCGCACCGGAGCTGGTCCTTCGGGGCTGGTGATGATTGGTTGTGGAGTTACTTTCTTGGTAGTCCTTCGGTCTTCAGCTGAGGGTCTATCAAGAGGTGTCATGTTGGCTTCCGTGCTTCCGACCTCTGTGTCTCGTCTTGAGATGAAGAGTTAGGGGCCGATCTATGTGAATGAGTAAACTGGTTTGCCTGACTTGATATGTCACCCACGTTTTATACCCTCAAGGCTCGGGCGGAACCATGCTAACTGGCTACGTCTATAGGATATATCCCGCGTAAAGAGGTTCTAACACCTATCACATGTAGTCCGATTGGTAGGTATTGAATATGTGACTGTCATAGTAACTATTGCTAGTTAGGCTCTGACCTAGCATGCTTGACCATATATTTCTTCCATAGCCTGCCCAAATCATTTTCTACTTGAAGTTTTATCATATATGAATCCATCGATACTCGCTCATAATTGTGATATCTATGATTTCCTATGCAAGACTGTAGCGCTAGCTTGGTGGCTGGGGAATATAAGGGTGTCGGCAACCACAACATTCTCCCTTCTACTAGCTACGAAGACCACCACCTCGGCAATATCGTCTGGGGTCAAAGGCTCGACGCCTCTAAACGTTGTATTAGCGATATAATTTCAGTTCTAGGCCAGTGACTTACGCATAGACAGCATCGGCCTTCGATTTATCGCCGTTAAATCGCACAAGAGAGAATTCCGTCTCGACCTGGCCAGGGTCGACCTCCAAAACCCTAATCCTCGTAGCGACGAGTTCCTTCCTCAGGGACTCAGTAAAGCTACGGACGGCGGCCTTGGTGGCGCAGTAGATGCTCCCGCCGACGTAGGGTTCGCGGCCGGCGATACTGCCGATGTTGATAATGTCGCCGGCGCCGCCGTTGGGCCGCTTCAGGAAGATGGGCAGGACCGCCTGCGTCAGGTTGATCAGCCCCGTCACGTTGGTCGCGAACATGATGTTCAGGTCTTCCTCGGCGATCTCGGGGGCCTTGGCCACGCCCTTGACTAGGCCGCTAGGGGGTCGTTAGTAAATAATATATCGCTGTTCTAGTGGGAAAGAAACGTATAAAGGGAGATAGTAGGACTGATAGTTCACGGCATATTCTCTGTCTCTAACTACCACCCCCATTCCCCCCCCTGAGACCCCGTAGTTTAAAGTTATATAACTCAGACCTCCGAAACTAAAACCGAGATATGGAAAAGAAAAATATGATAAAAAGATAATAATAATAATAATATAAACTCACGCATTGTTAACCAAGACGTCGATGTCACGAAACTCTTCGGGCAGCGCCCGCACGAACCCGCGCACCTCCTCGGGCCTGCTGACGTCGAGCCCGACCGTGTGCACCTTGATTCCCGCGCCGGCGCCGCCGACCTCGGCCGCGATGTCGGCCGCGACCTGCTTCAGCGCGTCGACGCGCCGCGCCGTGAGGACGAGCTTCAGGCCGCCGCCGCTCGGCGCCGCCGCGCGCGCGAACTCGAAGGCCGTGCTGCGCCCGATGCCGGAGGAGGCGCCCGTGATCAGGACGGTCTTCCCGGCGAGGCGCTTGGACGCCGCCGCTGCTGCTGCGGTGGACATGGTGCGGGTTCGGGTTCGGGTTCGGGTTTGGGTTGGGGGATGGAAGATGGGGGTAGTGGTGGTGATGGTGGTGGTGGTGGTGGTGAGGTGGGAAGGGTTTGTGGTGGTACGGGTATAAGTGCGGGTATGGGTGCGGGTTAGAGGGGTTGTTAGGGTGCGGGTGTGGTAGGAGCGGGAGTAGGAGTAAGAGTAAGAGGTCTGGAGGGTGAGTTTGGGGAGGAGGGGGCGCATATAGCTTGTCTTTTAACAAAAAGGGGGGAAAGTAAAAGGGAATAGAAATTTCGACTTATATAGGTAAGGGAGGGAATTGTTGCCTTTTTTTTCTTTTTTTTTTCTTTCTCCAGCTCTTCTATTATGGAGATAGTCCGGTATGTACAAGTAGGTAAGTAAGTTGGTTAGTTATATGGAGGTAGGTAGGTAGGTAGAGATAGAGCGATGATGCCATCGGCCTAAGGGTTGATAATAGGTACCTAGTATAGTAGATGGAGTCCCGTAGAAAAAAGAGAAGAACCCCGCCAAATGTCGTGCGTGCGTGCCCCCGCCATTCATCAATTGCATGCTACACTAGCAATCCGAGACTTTTCCGAATAGGATTTCCGAAGCGGGATAGGTACCTATAGAAATATAGTGGACCTTACCTTAGGTATATCCAAGTTATTCCGGGGAAGGTTTATATGTAATATATAGCGCAATGCCCGTGTAGGTTTTCCCCGTTATAATCGCCCATTTTCTATTTCGTATCTACCTGGTAGTGAGACATCTCGTAAATACGAACCTACCTAAGTCACCTCGGTGCTTATGTTGCTGTGATAAGAATGGAAGTTGTCAATCCTGCCTCCTCCCCCCCCCCCTTCTCTCTCTCTCTCTCTCTTATCCCCCCTATTTCGGATTTCGGAGTAACATCAAGTAAATGATATCTTTACCGAGCTATACTATAGGTATGTACATCACCTCGCCTGTAAACCCGCCAGCCTAGAAACCTCGACAATACGCATATATTCAACCTGGTTAATCCACTCACTATAATATTTGCGTGCAACATAGGTATATAATTTGTATCCATCTCCAAGGATCGTTGGAGCTTTAAAGGAAACAGAGTAGGGGGTTCTGTACCGAGTAGGTAAGGAACAGTAAAAAATGTGTTCTCCCACGGCACGGAATAAAGGAATATGTATACCATCCACGAAAAGCCCATCCCCTCTCCTCTCCTAGCTCTGTGCATGACGTCTTGAGCGGCTCGGGAAGTCGGTTCAGTTTGCGTCCAAGAGCCCATCGTCATCGACGTACTCCATGTACCCGATCAAGGCCATCACAAGAGAACCTCTGGGGTTCGCTTTCCCTGAACCCCCCGCGTATAGACGACGCAGATACGCTTCCAGCAAAGATATAGGGGCCTGGGAGCGACGACTAGACTTTTGCTCGATCCGGTTTGAAGACGTCTGGTCCCCCACTGGGCTGCCAGGGCCGGAAAACGGTCTGCGGACACGGGCGTCTAAGAAACGTAACTGATGACGCCAGTGCCCAGGGCTGGGATCCTAACAGCTCGCTCTCACGATCTTGAGCGTGCCGCACAGCTTGGAAACCATGACGGGCTCATTGAATCCGGTTAAGCCAGCCCCCTATTCGCCGCGCAAGAACACGCACACACACACACGCACACACACACGTACGGTCTCCGTCGAGGTACGATCGTATAGCTAGCTACAGGCGAATCTGCTCGAGTTTCACGAGCTACTGCCCCTTTGCTCGGATCACGTGAATCAGACGGCGAAGTCGCGTAGATCCGGATATTAGTAGTAGGAACGGCCCTTAGAGGTCAGGAGAAACTGCAACGCCGTGCTCGCAAGGTTCCTCTCAGAGGTAGACGTTAACGCAGAGCCTGATGATCGCAGCTGGAAAGCAGGCCGGAGACTCTCTACCTACTTATTGCTGCAGATGCGCGATACGTTGCGCAGCAGTCTCGTCCCGGCCAAGGCAAGGGAATCCGACCCGAACTTGACTCTTTCCCCGTTTAAGTCCTAGGTCCTCCTCTCCAGGATGTGCTTGAGTCGACCAGGGATGGCCAGGATCCCGCATCTGATCGGCGTGGGAGCGATGTGCTTGTCTGTCTTCCGTAGGAGACTCGACTTATACTACGCGTAGGGAAATCCCGTATTCCGACTCATCTCAGACCACACACTCCAAATACTTTATCTCCAGTTACCTGCCTCTCCGTTATATCTCGACTGTCTTCTCACCGTCGAACCCGGGAGCCTGGGCGAAGTAATATCCCCTCTGGTTCGCGAGCAGCCTCAACGGTCCGGCACCACCGTCCCGCGCGGCCGCGAAGTCGCAGTTGTAATGAATGCGTGTGCCCGAACGCCCAGGGCCTAACTCTAGCGCTCCTAAAGCACACCTCCCCGATAGGTCCTTCGAGAACTCGCCGGTGATCGGACTCGCGGCTCTATAGCCCGCACATCCTTCGACGGGCTTCCAAATGCGACAGAATCACGATCTTGAACGTCCGACTGTTCGAAGCCCGCGACCTGCGCATTCAACCAGGCGACATCGCGCCTGTGCGCGTCGACATCCCCAGTCCCCGGTCCGAAAAAAAAGTCACGCAGTCCGCAGCTGACCGCCATGCGGCTTTTGGGGAGGGGGCACGAGAGAAAAGAGGTTTGCAGCCCAAGACGACACGGTGGTCGGTGTCCGGCAGCCGGAACAACCGCGCGGTTCCAGCAGGACAAACTCACTCCCCAGCGACGTTGTTCTCGCGGACGTCAACGCTCGAAGGCGCGCATGAATCTCGAGCGCCTCGGGCCAGCCGGAACCGTAGGGCCCTCGTGGTTCCCGGCGGGACGAAGAAGAACGGCGCGGGGACCCGCGCGAGCTGCAGGCAGTCTTCCCCGTGCGGTGCAATGCAATGTTGCCGATAATCACCACCGAGCAGCGCCAGGTAGGTAGGTAGGTAGGGTGCTTTCTTTCGGGACAAATCTCCTCGAAGACGTCGTAGGCAGGCCCTTGGGAACCTCTAGATGCAGCAGATCGGAGAGAAATCTGGACCGCCATGACGAAGGGGGGTTTTGGACTGTGAGATCTACTACCTACCTAATATGTAGTAGGTATGTTTCGTCTCTTTATAATTTTTAAATTTTGAGAAATAATATTTGAGAAATATTTACAAATATAACTTAGGTACCTAAGGTACCTCATGTACTTAAGATACGTAACTGATAATGTAATCAGTCAAGCCTAGATGCGTGAAAGCGGCATCGGCGCTAAGCTTAATTTGTCAAGAACAGGTACCGACGTCTTAAAGCTCGATAAAACTGCCAGCTGGCAAACCGGTTAACTCCGTCCGGCTACGTAGTGTAGAGGTTATCACTCCGGATTTTGATCATAGGTTTGAGAAATTCCGGCAACCTGAGTTCGAGTCTCAGCGTGGCCTTGCATCCTTTTTATTATCCATTTTCGTTCATTTTAATTAATCATTTAACTTGTTTTCCAAGTCTTTCATTGGAATACATCTATTAACACATGCCTACTCATATTTACTTAATGCACTCTTTTCTTGTCCCTATTTACTTACTCCTTACTTCCCTTCTTTCCTTTCCCTTTAACGAATTTGTGTTTCCACGGGTACTTAAATTTCTGGCCTGTGTTATCCGTGTTGTTTGTTATGCATGTGTTTATCAGTATAATACTCACTCACGTCCTTTGATCGTTGTTACAGCCATCCCGTCGAGAAGGGGAGATAGGTCCGAATCGAATAAAGGGAGGTAGAAGGAAGAATAATATGGATATATATATATATCGAGGATAAGAAAGAACACTATCGCTAGAGAGAGACAGGGAGGGAGGTATCTCAAGTTTTGATTACACATGCACCTTGGGTACATATCTTATTTCCATCCATTCACATCCTACCTAGAGCTCGGGACATGATCAAGCCAACAACTACACCGCATCTATCTACCCGGTGTGCCTTATCCATCAATCAGAAGACAATTAATGCTTTCTCTCATTCTCTCCCCCCCTTTTTGTTTCTTCGCTGTCATATCGAGTTCCCCCCCGCTCTCTAAGCAAGACTATGCATAGAACCTAGGCCCCCTCTCATTTATTCATCGGAATGTGTAGTAATATGCATGTAATCAACATCCCTTCATCTTGACACAGTTACTCATAATATGCATCAAATTACCGACTCCTATACGCCTTCCCCCCAAAGCCGCCCTTCCTTCAAAGTCATGTATACCATGCATCATGTCGCAACATTACTTGATAACATTCACCCCTAAACCTCGAACCCCTCAATACTCCTCCACAGCACAGTTAGGGTGCAATACGTAAACGACCTTCTGCGAGGCCGCGGGTCCACCTTCACCAGCCGCCCCATCGCCACCTTCCCCGGCGAGTCCCTCGCCACGTACCGCCATGAGGATATTGTCCTGTATTACGCGCCAAGTCAGCAAATGGTCCACAGTTGATTTACAACAGATTAGATAAAAAAGGGGGGGGAGGGGGTTAGGGGTAGAGTAGATTAGAACATACCTTGACCATCTTCTTCAGCACCATCCTTGCGATATTCATTTCGTTATGATAATCCTCTTCGCCCTGGAGCTCGTCTTCCTTCTGCTCGAGGTACCACTGCACGAGGTCTTCGCCGTCGACGCCCTCCCCGGCGCCCGCCGCTTCGTCGTCGTTCACACGCGACACTATGAGGTTCACCATGCTGATATACTTCTCGTACGTGATGGCCGTCTTCTTTCGCTGCTGCTGGTGGGCAGCCGCGGCATCATCATCAGCGCCGCTAGCTCCGGCGTCGGCATCTGCTTCACCCATCTCCGCGTCGCCCTCCTCGTCCTGGACCGGTGCGGCGCCTGAAGCTTGGTCTGCGGCGGCGATTAGCGCGGCCGAGTCCTCGGGCGTATCATCGTCCTCTTCGTCCATCTCTACGTCGTCGTGCTCCACGGAAATGATACTCTGGCGCAGGAGGTTAAACGCCTCGTCCACAAAGTCGGGCACGATCTCCTCGACACAGTTGGCCTTGGCGATCGCCTCTGACAGTCGGATCAAACTTTCTAGCTGTCGGACCGTAATACGATAGCTATTCTTGCCGATGCCTCCTTGTGCATCGTCAGCGCGCAGCTCCTTGTACTTGATGACCAGCCGCTCCTTGGCCTCGTCTGTGAACTCTGGCCGGAATGTCCGCGCGAAGCGGATGTATCGCTGTAGGCATTCAGTGCTGAACTCGGGCTCAATAGCGCTGTCTCGTAAAGCGTGGAGGCCCACAATATGCTCGGCGAGATGGCGATCGACGGCTTCGTTACACTCGTCAAGAATAACGAAAAACAGGTCAAAACGGGACATGATGGGTGCTGACATGTTGATGTTGGCGCGCAGGGTCGTTTTGCGGTTATAACGTCCGCCTACCGGGTTCGCGGCGGCAAGGATTGATGTTCTGGCATTCAGCGTAGCTTGAATGCCTGCCTTGGCGATGGAAATCGTTTGCTGTTCCATAGCCTCGTGGATTGCAACCTGATCTGCAATGTCCATCTTGTCAAACTCGTCAATGGCACAGATGCCGTTGTCTGCAAGCATGAGAGCACCGGCCTCAATAGTGAACTCGCCCGTTTCTTCGTCTTTCATCACGGCAGCCGTGAGACCGGCAGCCGAGGAGGCCTTTCCAGATGTGTAGACTGCCCGCGGCGCGAAAGAGCAGACATACTTGAGGAACTGAGATTTCGAGGTCGACGGGTCGCCTACGATACAAATGTTGATGTCGCCACGAAGTTCCATGCCTTCAGGGGTGGTTTTGTGGACACCAGACATCAGCTGTAGGAGTACTCCTTTTTTGACAATCTCGTGTCCGTAGACAGTTGGTGCCAATGACTTGACCAGACGTGCGTAAATGTGGTCACTGTGGACCATCTCACGCAGTTCGTCGATCTCACTAGGCGCCATGGAGTTTAGGACTGCATTCTGGGCCTCCTCGACAGTCTCGGTCGTGTCAGCAGAGGACTGGGTCAGAGAATTGGTGATCTCGTGAACTTGTCGGCTAGCGGACTGGCCAGGAGTGGAGGTATCGGGTGTGACCATGTTGGCAAGGAATGCTAATCGATATGTCAAATCACGAACACCAAGCGACTTGAGACCCGAGACTCCGCTGCCGCCAACATCGTTACTGCGTGGGGCATTCCGATCATCCCGAATCGCCGTAGGTCGGACACCCGGAAGTCCCAGCTGGCTGACATCCGGGACTACAATCAAGGCACCGGTGAAAATGCACTTCTCTCCGGCCTTGGCACGATCAACGATCTCGCCTCGCATGATGACGTCCATCGTCCGCGGCATGCTCCCCGTAGGGATTTCGGAACTATTTTCCTGGATGCGTACCTTTTGCCAGTCGACAAAGGTGCTCTGCCTGATGTCGAGTTGCCAGGCCAGACGGTTTCCACATTCGGCGTTGGGGCATTGTGTAGGTTCAGTGTAGCGGAATGTCTGCTCGACGTTGGGAATGACAGACCGACAGGCCTCGCAGGTGAAGGTTGCAAGCGAGAGTTCGGGTCTGACCTCAGATGTTCTCGTGACAGTGCCGGAGATAGAAAGCAGCTGGCCAATATTCTTGGCCCGTAGACTGCGGACTCGGGACACGAGCGGCAAGTTGTAGAAGGCAATGGCGAAGAGCTTGTCGGTTTGTTGGTTAGCCGTCTTGCTGCCCTGCAAGTCGGACTGGCTGGCGGATCCAATATTGCTCGCGCCAGATGTGGTCTGGCCGCTCGACGTTGTCGCCTGTCGGTGTTCGCGAAAGTATTGTGGCTCGTACTTTGCGATCATGTTATGTAGGGCATTGGTGAGGAAAGGGAGTAATCGGTAGTATTGGGTGTTAATGGCGTTCGCCAGACCGCCATTCTGGAAGGAGGCGACGTGATTGTAGTTCACGTAGAAGGTAGAGAGTTGATAGACTCGCATGTTATGGATCTGGGCGACGTAGAACCTGTCTGTGGCGACGGCGCTTGAAGTCGGTGCTCCGGAAGAGACAGGATCCTCAATAAACCTGGCAGTTAATCATCAGTCACAGACCCCCCCACGATAGCTACGGATGGCAAGAGGTTCTCACTCCTCGATGAAGTTCTCAAAGTGCTCTTGCACGGTTATGCCGATTCTATCCTCTACTCGAGGAACATTTGCCGGGTCACGGCGTCTTGGACGGCCGGGGATCTGGTCGTCTGCGAATCCATCGCCCTCATCGTCGCTCGGGGCTGCTAGACTCTCGGAGGGCGGTCCTCGAGGCCGTGCTGACGATCCTCGTTGGAATTGTCTCTGCTTAGGAGTAGCACCGCCAGCCCTCGAGGGAGCATCAGACATGATGAAGCCGGCGTCGCTTGGTGTCGCCATGGTGCAATGTGACTGGAGTTGTTGCGACGAGCTCGGCGGTTAATTAGGCGTTATTGTTGTTGTTGCTGCTGTAGTTGAGGGGTGCAAGACCAGCAAAGTCGAGTGGGACTCAAAAAGTCGTCGTTAGGTCGAGATTGGCTCGACGCGTTCTTCGCGTTTCAATTAAAAGGGGCGCGTTTTTTGGCGTCTGCTTTTATTGGTGGGGTTCTCTCAATTAAGATCTTGCAGCTAATTACATAATCAGGTACCTTTTAGGTGAATAATCCGATTATTCAATCAACCATATAAGTAATACAGCGGGATGTACCTGATAACACAACATCTTGACACTACCTTACAAGCAAAAAAGGTACGTACGGTGGCTAGGGGGGTATAATATTCTATTAATTCTTTTTGCTTCGACTCGTTGCAACAACCGTTCCTTCAGGACCATATCTTTCTAACCTATATTATACAACAAACAAGGCTCGTTCCAGATCATCCATCCAGCCACAGTAGAAAGCATACGGCCTTGTCTTGAACCTCCATAAGTTATTATGCGGCCTTCTACTACGGCATCGTCCATATATGCGAGGAGCAATTATGCGTATATAGGTAACTAGGCAGGCGGCCGTTCTACGCTCAAGCCTCCGTAGCTTGTTCTTGCTCTTGCCCTTGCTCTTGTTCTCGCTTCCCCTCCTTCTCTTTCTCATCTGCCTGAACTGCTGGAGCTTCTGCTTCCGGCACTTGAGGTGCTGGCTTCTCTGAAGCTGGCACGGGTTCTTCTTCTAGAGCCAGGTCGTTTCGCAGATCGGGCAGAAACCGGTCTATCCGCTTCCACGTTTCTACCCACAGGTTCTCTTGCGATGGGTCCTTGCTTGGGGGTACAAGATAGCCACTGCTCGACATGAATAGCAGTACATTCTTTAGGTTTTCGGGCACAGCCTCTTCCTGTAAACCGGATCAGTATCCCACAAACCTTTCGAGAGATTATCACGAGTGCTTACCAAACTGTCACCCTGCCCACTATTCATGAGCCTGTCCATGATGTCGATAATCTGCAACCAGAGA